CTGTAATATGGGGCAGCTTGTGGTTGTATATTGGTGATGATGTAGATTTCATGAGGGGGTAAAGTTCTCTTTTGTGCTTAGTCGACGACTTTGTGTTAGAAATTATACGTTGTAGCTGTCAAAACTCATCATATATAATATACATTTTAAGCTCTTTTTTTGATTCTTTTGCCTGGCTGTCTGTATTTTTTTGTTGTCTTTCTCATTACTATTTTCTCGTGTATGGCTTCCATTATTTGGATGGAGAATTTTTTGATATATAGACCTTTTTAAACTTTTAATTAACAAAATCGACAACATTGTTTCTTAATTAGCAAAACTGACCATTTTTTAGTCACGTCAGCACGACTGGTTGAAAATAGTCTGTTTTGCTAAATGCAGTATTTTGAAAACTCATAAAGTGCTATCCCCTCTAATTCTGGTTGCTAATCCTGCTAGCAATTAGAGGTGCTCCTAATTAGTCATGGTTGATGTTATGGTGTTTCTAGTCATCAAAGTATGATTCTTCGCCAGTAACAGACATGTGTCCCCCAACATGCGCCGCTCAAATCAAATTGATGGTCAAGATCGTTAGGAATCTCGAGTTAGCCGACTCATCGAGTCGGCATCTCCGTAGATCGACTCGAGAGGCGGTACTTGTCGGTCCTCTTGTCGAAGGCGACTCGCTACGAGCCTACTCGACCAGTTATTTGATACTTTGCGAGGTTGACTCGAGAGGCAATACTTCTCGGCCAAGCCAAATGACGACTTCAACCTCGAGCCTTACCCGCTGACAACACGTCGACGTCGCATTAAATGCTTGGTAGGTGACATCATTCTTCTAGCCTCGATAGTCTTCATGACTCATTGGACCACGTCAGCACCACCATACCCCAATCACTTCACATTTAATACCTAGGTGACCTCATCCACTTTGTCGATTGGCATGTGTAAAGTAGGTGATGACGTAGCCGTCAGCCTATACTCGTTTGCCGTCATCTTGTACTCGGTCGATATTACCATTCTACCCTTTTTTCACCACTATAAAAAGAGGTACTATTCCAAGAGCAATCTTAAGCAAATTTTCAGTATTATTCTCCATTTCACTACACTTTAGAAATGACGCAATTCATTACTTTTCCACTCAAGTTCATCAACTGATTTGATCGTCGGAGGAACAACGGGGAAACTGGTCCATGTCCTCTCACGAATTGCTATTTGTGTACACTGAAGTTACTTAACTCAAAACCAGATATTCGGAGAAGTGAGTGGCCCCTAATCAACCTCACCCCTATTATAATTACCTGTTTGATTATTAACATCAACAGTTGGCAACCTCCGCTAATTAGCAACTTAATTTTTTAAAATGACCCAGTTTCTGGCCACGATGCTGACGTGGCCAGAAAGTGGGTTGGTTTCTGTAATGAACTTTGGAATGAGTCGATTTTTGGGATAAAAGTTGGGATTAAGTCTATTTTGAAATTTTCTTCTTTGTCTCTAGGGGAAAAAACAAAAACAAAAACCAAACGCCTTTGGAACCGTGTTTTTTTTGCAATTAAATACCCTATAGTTTCCCTTATATTGTATGTATATACCGTCACTTGTTTCTGGCGGAACTTATTATTATACCCTAATTTTTTTTTTAAAAACTCTCACTTATATATGCTCACCTTCTGGCAACATTTATATACCGTAAAAATTTTCAAACTTGCACTTAAATACTCTAAAGCTTTTTAATAGACAATTAAACGCCATATAGTTATTAAAACTTGCACTTAGATACCCCCAAGTTTGTATAACTAAGGACAGTTAAGTGCAAGTTTTAAAATTTTAAGAGATTTAAGTGTGTATTTTTATAACTTTAGGATATGTAAGTGCTCCCAAAATAAGTGAGAGTGTTTTAAGTGCACATTTTTAAAACTTTAGGACACATAAGTGGCCAAAACAAGTGATTTTTTCAAACTTGCACTTAAATACTCTAATTAAAAAAAAACAGATAGTTAAGTACCCTAAATTTGTTAAAAGTTGCACTTAGATACCCTCGTGTTTGCATAATTGAGGGTAATCCAGTGTACATTTTTAAAAAATAAGTGCGAGTATTTAAGTGTGCACTTTTAAAACTTTAGAACATAAGTGGTGACCAAAACAAGTGATTTTATAAAACTTGTACTTAAATGCTCTAATTTTTTTTTAAAACAAACAATTAACTACCCTACAATTGTTAAAACTTTCCCTTAGATACCCTCAAGTATGCATAACTGAGGTTAATTCAGTGCATCTTTTAAAAAAATTTAAGATATTTAGCGCATATTTTTAAAACTTTAGTGTATATAAATGATCTCTAAAATAAGTGACAGCATTTAAGTGCACATCCTTTAGTACTTCAGGGTACAAAAGTGGTGACCAAAACAAGTGTGAGCATGTACGTGCCAATTAGGGGAAACTATAGGGTATTCAAGTGCAATTAAGCCTTTTTTTTTTTTTTGGGCTCAAACACAGTTGGCCCAAAAACAAGTGCTTCGAGTTGCAGAGCGTGGTCGTTCGTTCGCCGACCCTCGTCTCCTCGCCGGGAGCTCTCCAATCAAGGTATTCACCCTCTTTTCTTCTCATCTTTTCAGGAATTTATTGTAAAAAAAAAGTTTTGCCCTAATTTGTATGTTTTCGTTTTTTTTTTGTGTCGATTTCATTTTTTTGCTCTGGAATTTTATTGCAACTTTTTTTTATTTATAATCTTATCCTAAATGCGTCAAATTAATCATTTTTGCTATCATATTGAATAATAAATTATTATTATTTAATAATGTCAAGAAATGAAAACTGACCTCGCATGCGATCCGAGCCTGGTAACAACGAACGAATAATAAATTGTTATTTTCTCGACCTTTTAGGATATTATTAATTAATTGTAGCCTTAGGAATCGTGATGGGTCCACTATAAGTTGTTGCGTGCGCGCTTTTAGCTAATGATTATGCCTCCCTGAACGCGCGAGGCAAAACACGGTTGCTTTCAAGGGTGAATGATCGCCGCTGCCCTGTTTATTTATGCATCTATGTTTGCCATGACAAAGTTTGTTGGGTTATTTTATGACGCCTCTTTGGTTGTTTGTGGCGGATGTAATAGATGTCAAGCGCAAGTCACGATGTTGACTGGGGGCCGGTAACTTGGCCTGAGAAGACGCAGCTTTATTTCATAGATTTGATGGAGGGGGAAGCGAGGAAGGGTAACAGGCACACGAGTACCTTCACCAGGGCGGCTTGGAAATTCATGGAGAACGAGTTGAAAAAGAAGACGGGGAGAGAATACACTCACGAACAACTGAAAAATAAGTTCAATCAATTAAGACAGAGGTGGAGGGATTTGAGTAGTCTTCTGACGGACACGACGGTCGAGTATGTTGCAAGCACCGGTCAAATATCCGCGACGGAGGATGCGTGGAATGAGTTGTGTGCGGTAGTGCCCGATGATTCATTACAATTTTTATTAGATACGTTATGCAAGTTTGGCTTGATTATTTCTTTTGTCTCGCGCAGACGCACAAGCACGCAAGATATTTTAGAAGGAAAGGGTGCAAAGGTTATGACAAATTGTGCGTCATTTTCGGTGATAGTACGACTGCCATTGGTGATAATGCTCATCCGTTTTCCAAAAGCCCTATCATTGATGAGAATGACAGAGAAAAAGAGGGAGATGAGGAGGTAGAGTCATCTCAAGCTAAGAAAAAAGTAAAAGTGGCGAACGAACGTATACCATTGAGGCAACAAGTCCAATCGGGAATGGCGGATGGTTTGACCTCGATGGAAGAAAACACTAGGAAGAAAATGGAACGGCGGGGGAGGAAAATGAGTTTGACTTCTGAAGATAGTCACATCAGTGGTGCTAGGCAAACAATCCTACGTTCTAAAGAAGAACAAGGTGTGGTGAATTGCATTATTGCACTTAGTGCTCTTGAAGGGATTGACTCAGCTCACTTTTCCAAGGCCGCACATGTCTTGCATGATGATGCATTATGGAGGGTGATGTTTCTGGCCATGCCTGATAAGAGAAAGAAGGATTGGGTATTAAGTCTTTCTTGATGTTTGTTTATGTTAGGTCTGAGAATCTTTGTATTTATTTATGTTTTGTTTGTTTCTATAAGGTTGAGGAACTTATGTGTATTCCTATTATGTTTTTGTTTCTAATAGATTGAGAACCTTTGTATTTGTTTTCATTGTGTTGTTTCTTTTATGTTTGTTTGTGTTATGGACGTGTGCCTCATGAACTATGTCCAAATTTTATTACGCACCATCTGAACTATATGGCTGAAATTTATTTTGAAGATCAATTTGAGTTTGGATTTATAGACACTTGTTTCTAGGTTTCGAATAGTAGTGAATTGTATTTTATATATTCGTTTATAGGTATGGATGTCAATGTTGATGTGGATGATTATCAAATATCAATCATCGCTAGATTTTGATTCAGACTCCGATGATGAGGAGCAATTTGAAGAGTAGTTAACCATTTATGCGAGTATGGAGTTCAATGGATTTAGTGGAGAAGCCTTGACCGCAGAAGATTTCACAATTCAATGGACATGATGGGGTGATTGGGGGTCCTAAATGGTCATCTAGCTTCTTGTTTTGACCCTTTATGAATGAAAAAAGCGGCATTTGTAGTCTTTGTGAAGAATTAAGAGAATTGAAAAATTAAATCATTCTTAAAGTCCAAGAACAAGTAACAACATTTTTATTTGTGCTTTCTCGTAATGAATGGCAACCAACTTGTTGCGGATTGCTTCCAACGCTCATCAGAGACCATCTCTACATATTTTAAGAAAGACCTTTTTGTGCAACTTGTTTTCTGACCAAATATGTGATCGTCCCTCCACCATATGATGAAACTCCTCCAGAGATATCGATTAAACCAAAGTATTATCCTTATTTCAAGGTATGATTATACTCCTTCTTTCTATATATTCAATTATATGAAATTGTTTTACTAGTATTCTAATATTAATATATTTATATATTTTTACACGATAGAATTGCACGGGGTTGTAAATACTACTTACGTTTTAGCTTATTTGCATTCTTCATTAAGGAATGTTACCAAACGGTGCTTTGGGTACGAAAAAATTGATTCTCAATTTTAAGAGGTATGCCTTCATCTAATTTGAAAAAAAATAATAAAGTATATTGCATTAGCATGTAGTTTATTATTGGAATGCATGATTCTAGAGATCCATTGTTCATCGAGTATGAAAATGAAGATGTGAGGCTCAAAGAAGATGCGACGACCACACGAGAACAACAAAACCATTCCAGTTAATGTTATCCCAGAGCATCTTTGTTGAATGGCAGGATTTTGAGATCGTTTGGCTCAATTATACTGGGCAACATTAGTAGAATGTGTTTTGAAATTAACGTATATTATATTGTCACATCACTAGAATATATTTGAACATTTATGTAAGTTATTAATATCATTGGAACATGATGAACAACTATTCATCATTGTTTCAAGCTAGTGGACAGCTTTAGGATGGCGATCGATGGGTGGCTACCGCCAGTCGGCCAGAGTAAATGTCAGCTATCGAGTGGAACTAATGCTTATTGGTGGATTGATAGTATATGTGTTATGTAAATGGTTATACTAGTTTGACAAAAAATTCATAATGATGTTTTGAAAACACTTGAAAATTAAAAACACCATGGTGTGATGTTGTTCTAGAAAAACACAACAAGAAACACACATTGGTTGCCAAACAATCTCTTACCTATAGTTGTTATTGCTGCAGTTCTCATCACCTCTCAGTTTATGATCATGGAGTATCAATACAACTCACTCAATTGCAAATCGTCAAGATGTATACTGAGCACATAACACCTCAAAAGTTATTACATCAAATGAGACCAAAGCAGTTGAAATTCTTCTACTTCCAGAAAGTTGCTCAAAGAAAACTCAAAATCTTAATAGAATGGCTAATTTTGTCAGGCAATAATATATATATATACAGACTTTGCAGTGGAATCAATTTTAGAACTTAAGCTCTGGAAGCTCATTAGATGAAACAAATTGACTAAAGCTACAAACAACAGGTAAACATCATCAAATCTTTCTTGAACATTGCATAATGGTCCGTGTAAAGCTGCCTACCCTCTCAAACTCTTTCCGCAATCAATAGTGCTTCAAGTTCTTCCCTGCGCCTTTCCAGTTCCTGCAATGGTCCTTAAAAACGTTAAAAATGGGACACAATGCAAAAAAATTCTTATTTCCATGCGCCTTGTAGCCCGCACTCGTTAAAGATTTTCCTCATAACATTTCTGATGGTTTTACAAAAAACAATGCTTCAAGGGAGAAAGGTAACTATCAAGCAGAAAATAGAGGAAAAGAGGGATAGGTTTATGTGAAGAATAGTTACCTACCACAAGCTAAATGCTGGGCAAGAAGAAAAATATACTGAGTAATAGAATAATAACTTTCCCCTTTGTTTCTGTTAGAAGTCACCACAGAGACAAACATTCAGCACTAACCACAAGGGTGGAATATTATAGGTTTTCTGTTTGTTCAGAGGAATTTTCGCCCGTTAAAGAAAAGAGGGTGGAAAGTGGGAATAGCCAGTTATGGTCGTAAGGACATATTACGGTAACTGTGAAAGATTAACTTTAAATGGCATGATATCTTTGTGATAGATAGTGAATGGAATCTAAATATAATATGCATCTGAGGTCAGCTTTAACAGAGATAGGCCACAAATTTTACAATAAATCAAAATTTCAGGTAACTCAGAAGAGCAGGTATGAGTTCAAATACAGAAGAAATGTCAGTAATTAAATCTCAAAATTAGGATGACCATAGATCAGAGGATACTGACTGCGAGACAAATCATTTCCATCAGTATTATTATTGAAATGTCTCTTGAAATACATGCAAATGAGAAAATAAATGTGCATACAGGAAAAGATATGGGAAGCAGAGAATAAGATAGCTCTTTCTGAACTGCCAGAAACTAAGAAATCCCAGCTAGAATTCAGCTAAAAGCCTAATTCAGTAGGTTAAAAAAAGAAAACTGACGAAGAATATGAATAGGTTCTACTACGCACAAAGTTTGTGGCTTTTGTGCAGCAACTACATGGCTATGGTACTTAAAGATACAATGCTTACGACTTATGAGTAACTAGCATAAGTTGAGCTGTATTTGGATGATAGCTGACTGATAAGAATTTATCATTAGGAAACTAAAATTCGTAATCATAATACTGGCAACGAATGGATCACATAGTTCAGGATGGGGCCGGATGGAGCAATGTTCCTAAGCTGAAAGGAAAAAAGTTGTAAGATAACTCTCAACATCAACAAGCAGAGACATCATGTTCTCTAAATGGAGTTTTCATAGAGCAAAAAGTATCTTTAGGAAAAAGGTTGGATGGAATCAGAATGCCCCAAGCATCGTTATCGTTCATGGCTTGGACCATTCATGGTTTTCCAGACGAATACATTTGTTGGACCTCCTTGCAATTTTATCCACATTGCAAAGTGACTATAAAAACCTGCTGGCCCATTTCAGATAAATATACTCAACCAAAATGACCTCATATAGGAAAGTTTTTGGAATCTAAATATGTTCCTAAGTGTTCATAAATTATGATCATATCCTAAGTGGGTGAGCAACGTGCAAGACAGCTGACTCCCTCCCCTTATGTACATTATGCGTGCATTCCGAGAGAACTGGAATTAGTTGCTTCTTTCCCGTCCGACTTGTTTGTGCCTCCTATTTCACAAGAGATAAGCGGTGGCGCTTGAAGTTATATATAGGTTTCATCCACATATTTACTAGTTCAGCATCTTATGCGTTTAGGTTACTATTTTTCCTAAAGCAGTCTTTGTCAGTACTTCTGAATACACAATTTGATTACAGCATTATTCATCTGGATGTAAATATACATAAGAGGGCAATAGAACCAAGTGATCCACACAAAAACACATCACCAACAATAGCATAGAAGAAGTCTGCACAAGTATGTAATTATCTTTTAATAAAACCTTTTTCGACGATTAAGTGGTTTATGAAGTGAAGTACAGCCTACCTCTAAATCTTTAGCTGCTTGCTCTCTTGTTGTTTCCTTGCGCTGCCTTGCACGCTTCAGGAAGCCAATGCATAGCATACCCTGTACGTACTCGTAGAAGCCATAAAGAAATGTCTACAGCATTCAAGTAATTTTTATACTTTTAAAACTAGGTAAAATAGTAAAGCAGCTAGCAAGCAACCACTGTAGTAGTCGCCTAGGAGTTGTTAGCCAACCTCATGGGCATCTAAATTCTGCAAAATGAGTGATAAAAGTTCTTATATGACCCATAATCCCGTATATTTAAGTTACAAATTTCTCCTATGGCACATGAAATATTGCATTTGATTTTTGACAACATTGCACTTGATTTCTACTATCCAAAAATGAATGAAATGTCGACTATAAGTAGATAAGCCTAGAAATTTTCGGGGCATTTTTTTTCTGTTTGAAGTAGAGGAGATAGATTTTGATGTAAGAGCACGATCACATTAACTAATATGGGCAGCAACAAAGTGGATGACAAATGACCACATGGCGATATGAATGGAGGAGAGGACCATGCTTCTAGAGATACATCAAGGCTTCAAGAGTTTATATGAGGCAAGGAAAAAAAAAATACAAGGTCACAGGATGATATAGCATGCATGCTGATCCTATAGGACGAAACAGCATTGATATGCCAGTGATGCAACAACATGCTATAGCATGCTTCAACATCTATAGAAGGTTATAACATGTGTTGCATAGCTAAGCATTGTAATTTAATGTTTTGGTGATGCTACGTCAGGTTATTAGATGGGACTGTGATTAGATTAGGTGGAAAATTAGGATTAGGTTTAGTATGGACCATAGAGTTGGATGCCATAATACCTTGTTCAGAGAGAATTTGAAGAGTTCTTAAAGCTTAATCGGGTTCAGCTCTCACACTACCGATGAAATAAATAGAAAAGTAATAATAAAAAAAACCAACCCCTTATCTGATCACCATATGATATGTATTAAAAAAATTAACTAATAAATGTGAAGAAATATGAATAGAGATTATGAGATTCTAAATTGTCACGCACCACATAGTTTGATCCAGTGAATAAAGAAGAGAACTAGGAATTTGAGTGCATTATTATTACCGAGATAACATAAGTCAATCCGCATGCAAGAAGAAGATAACTCGCAATATCCTGAACCAACACCAAGTCTTTACGCCTTCCACTGACATCCGGAAACGCTTTAGTCATCACAGCAACACTGCAATGCTAGAGTCAAAAAACTTCACACTGCACAAAAAACATCTCTCCAAGGCTCAAAATTTACAACAATCATATCGCACTCACAATATCTGCAGCATTCCTCTACCAGCCCAGTACTCCAAAATCTAGCACGCATATAAACAAACACACACTTAAGAAATAATCAAAACCAAAAAAGATTAGAGAAAAAAAAAGGATTAAAGAATTACCCTCCAAAACTTCAAAATGAAGCTCCACTCAGTCTCGGCAACGGCCACGAACAGCGCAATCACAACAGCATAGCAGCGGAGTACCCCGTCAAAGATCTTAAAAAAAAAAAAAAACAAACAAGCACCAAGTCATCAGATTGAGAAACGAAAACGAGCTAGGGTTCGTCCAGGGACGCGATCGTGCTTACATCGGAGCCGTTCGTGAAGGATCTGACGGCGGAGAGAACATTGACGCAGACGCAGAGGAGAGCAGCGGCGGAGGTGTGGAGCTAGGGTTAGGGTTAGGGTTAGGGTTAGGGTTTGAGAATTGGGAGCGGGGGGTTTTTAGGGAGGAAATGGATGGTGTTGAGAGAGGAGGAGGAGGGAAAGCATCGTCTTCTTTGCTTTCGGTTTTGGTGGAGAGCGGGATGCGGGAATAACTTTAACGGGATCCATCCCGAAGAGGGAAAGCATTTTTCTTTGGATTCGGGTACAGTGATCCGCTTGGGTACAAAATCCGAACCAAACGATGAAGATCATTTTGTGACGTCACAACCATAATAAACAATCCATTTATTTGCCGTTTAATGCGAAAGAGACTCTCCAAGTTGAGCCCTGTCCTGACCAGCACGAGATTATGAGAACTCCGACTTAAATCCTACGTTCAATGTCTCTAGGTTTCAAGTGGGCTACACATATAAATAAATAAATTAAGGCATCAAAAAGAAGTTCTCATCGAGATCCGACTCCTGCCACCCGACGTCGTGATCGCAAACTATCGGCCATCGATAAAGATGCCACGGGACAGGCAGACTTCTCGAGTAAGTGTCTTATTCCTAACCCGTTAAGAGGGTTTTTTTGTAAAAGTTTTCCAAAAACCTGGACTAAGTTTCTGTTGGGAATATAAGCTGTTTAGACAAAGATTAACACGAATTAAGCTTTAAATGGTTGATTATTAAATCAAATAATATCAGATAAATATTATAACTCAGAAATAAAATTAAATCAAATGATGCCCGCTTGTCATCATCACATGTGTAATTGTTTATCGCATTAATATTATTTTCAATAATGAAAGTAAATAAAAGTTAGAAATACGGCCTGATGGTCGAGGCGTGCAAGCACTGTCTCAAGAATCTAATTGCCCCCTCTCGTACAGGGTTACGCGGCAAAAGTTCTCGGAGATATAACGACCCTCGATCAGGCGACCTCCTTCTCGTCGGCACGAGCTTCAAGAAGGCTTTGCGAACTCTTCTAGACTTTCAGGGAACCAGCAAATCGCAATGGCAAGTAAACGTAATAGGAAGAACATAGAAGAAGAAGAGTTTGTTGTATTTCGCTGTGTCTTTTGGCCTCGCAGCTTGCGGTTTATATAGAGGAAGAAAAACCGTTATTTAGCTAGCCATTTAACACGTTTTTAATGCTAATAAACATTACTGTTTAATACATTTTAAATGCTAATTACGTTATAAACGTTACGCAATCATTTCGCAAAATATTTATCACGTTTTTAATCACGTTAGTAAATCTTAGCCGTTACAAAATATTTCCGTTACAAAATAAAATTCATTAATCACATTTTTTCAAACTGTTCCAATTATCAAAAATAAAAATAAAAATGTAGCAAATTAAGAGCCCATTAATCCGGAGCTGCATTCGTGTCCGCGGGTCGTGTGCGCGCGCCACCCGACCCGACCCGAACCCGGCCCGGCCGGCGCGTACGTGTGTGGTGTGGAGCATAACCTTTATTTTCTTCTAGGCATAGGAGAGAAAGGGAAGGCTTACAAAGAACCTATCTTCCCATCTCTTTTCCAACGTGGGACTAAACTTTTCCTCTTTTCCTCTACAAACCCAAGTTTTAAGTTACAACTCCAACAATCCCCCACATAACTTAAAACTTAAAATAACTCAGAAATAAGAGTAAAATAAAAACAAATAAATAAGATTGCTGGTTCCCTTATACTATGTAATAGGTGGAGGTACCTTTTGGTTTGAACCTTCACTTAGTGACAATTGTATAGATCCGTGAGAGTTTGGTGGACTTCGCCTTGAACCAGTCCCATTTATCAGATTTCTACAGAAAGCACACATAGTACAGTTTTGAAGAATTCTAAGCGGGTTGCGCTATTATCGACCTTGCGCAGGTATCTTTCATGTGTGTTACTAGGGAGCAGCCCTGATCCTATAGTCGCGGCCTCACAACTACACACATATAGGTGAATCCTAATAAGGATGCGAGCAAGTAAGCATCCTGCCTCTTGGGTCTTGGATTCATTAAGAGTTAGACTCAACCTTTCACTTGCTTTTTATGAGCACTGATCACCCTAGGGATGAGAGCAAATAAATTCAGTGCTTCTCACAATTAATCACTCATTCAGTTTGTTTCTACCCATTGAACCTCTGCGAGGTTGGGTTGTCACTGTAGTGATTTTTCTTATGGGCTTAACCCCATCCCCCTCGATGATTCTAGGACCACTGCCCTAGATAAGCCTTTAGTTAAATGATCTGCAAGATTTTTCTCTGATCTTACAAAATCTAAGGCTATTATATGGCTTTTCATCTTATATCTCAAGGATTTATGTCGCACTTTGCAAGATTTTTCTCTGATCTTACAAAGTCTAAGGCTATTATATGATTTTTCATCTTATATCTCAAGGATTTGTGTCGTACTTTCAAGTGTCGATTCATTTTCACATCTACATTCTCTTGATGACATTTGTCAATCGCTGACCTGCAATCACAATGAATAGAAATAGCTGGTAATGGTTTTTGCATTAGTGGAATTTCAGTTAGTAAATCTTTCAACCATTCAGCTTCTATACTAGTAGTATCAAGGGCTATCATTTCTGATTCCATTGTACTTCTAACAATTACAGTTTGTTTAGTAGATTTTCATGAAATAGCTCCTCCTCCAAAAAGGAACACAAATCCAATGGTGGATTTTACATCAGCTGAGTCACTAATCCAATTTGCATCTGAGTAACCTTCTAATACAGATGGATAACCTTTATAATGTAAACCATAGTTCATAGTTCCTTTTAGATATCTCAAAATTCTTTCTAGAGCATCCCAATAACTCTTATTAGGATTTGATGTATATCTACTAAGTCTATTTACTGCATAAGCAATGTCAGGTCTTGTGTAGTTTGTTAGGAATCCTAATGATCCAATTATTTGTGCATATTCTCTTTGTAATTGAGGATAACCTGTATTTTTCTTTAGGTGTACATTAGGATCATATGGAGTAGAAACAGGTTTACAGTTTGGATCATAAAAGTTCTTGAGAATTTTCTCTATATAATGTGATTGTGACAACACATATCCATTCTCATTCTTCAAGATTTTAGTGTTAAGAATTAAATCAGCTTGACCTAAATCTTTCATGTCAAAATTTTGTGATAAAAAATATTTGATATCATTTATGATTTGTATATCAGAACCAAAAATAAAAATATCATTAACATATAAGCATAATATCACAATTTTGTTGTTATTATCTGTTGGCCTTCTTGTTTTGATGATGTTTAACAAACAATTTACCACTAATGTTGTTTGTCTAGTATTTGTGTTTTCGTATTTATTGTAGACAAACAACGTTGTTGGAGGATGGATGGAATTGCGCTTCAACGATCATATCCAATGGAGGTTAGCGGAATAAGTTAAAGATCAAGTTCAAGCTTCATCCGCATGTGTACCAAGTTGAGCTTCAATGAAGATCAAGATCAAGCTTGGGTATATTTAGTATAGGTTTATATTATGTGTGTTATATACTCTAAGCTCAATATTATATTCACACACATATTTATTAGTTTCTTAGTATATATATATATATAGTTATATACATATACATCTTGGTTTTTAGTTTTATCCACAAACAAAGTTTTTACAAATAAATTCCAAAAAATGTGTATACATGCTTGTTTTCTATGTGGATAAGTTGTTTTGGTTTAATTTCATAGATATGAAACAAATATATTTTCATATACATACTCATACGTTTTACTTTCTATTGTATTTGTGAAAATATTGTTTTCTTGGTTTATAGACTTAACAATAATCATATACATCTTTTATTAAGTCTACAAAATCATTTTGTAATGTTTCAAAACATGGTTAAGCTAAAATGTCAAGATTCATATGTTTACATTTTCATGTTTTGGACTATTTTGTAAAATGATGGTATTTCTCATTTGGGAAGTCTTTTTAGAAAACCAGTTTTTGTAGCATGTGTATTATCATGTCTACAATCATTCCCCAAAGTTTTACATTTTTCTGAATTTATTTGATATTTTTAAACAGGGTTTTAAAATCAGCAAAACAGTTTTTGAATATGTCAGATTTCGGTCGACCGAACATGAGTTCATATTCTCACTGGGCGACAGAGAGTCTGTCGGTCGACCGGTCCGGTCGACCGAAAAACTCCATCGGTCGACCACACCGGTCGACCGACGATGATCCAGAAAGTTTTCTTCGTGGTTTTGCTCTCATCGGTCGACCGACGGGATTTTCGGTCGACCGACAATACATGTTTACCTACATGTTTAGAAACTTCCCTCAAAATTTTACTATTTTTGGAGTTGATTTACTGTGCCTAATTGATTTTACAAAATCGTATATGTTAACAGTTTTTCAGAAACTGTAAATTTGTGTTCAAATATTTATTTCTCTCAACTGGGAAAATATTTTTCCGAAATTCTTTCTCTGACATGTTATTATACATGTCTAGAACATTCCCACAAAATTTCATAATTTTTGGAGTTCATTTACTATTTTAAATTGATTTTACAAAACAGCTGCGCACTGCTACAGTAATCCGGTCGACCGTACCGGTCGACCGAAGTACTGTAGCATCCGACCGTTGCTACAGTAACAGCTAGTTCTGTTTTTTTGTTTATTTTAATGTTTTGGGGGTGTTTTTATTGGTTTTTGGGGTTGTTTCATGAGCCTATATATACCCCATGCCCTCATACCTCTAAGGTAACTCAAGAAATGTTTTAAACAAGTTTAAAGAGTTTTAAACAAGGGTTTAAGTGAGTTTTAGTGTTTGTTTGGTTTGAAGATTATTTTCACAAGTGGAGGAGATCATCTTCTTGTTTGGGCTTCATATCTCCATCTCTCCATCTTGATCTAGAGAAGTTTTCCTAAACTCAAGTCTAGCTTTTATTTATAATTATTTGTTGATTATCATTTCTATTAAAGCTAGTTTTATATTGAGTTTAGTTTGATTTGATTTACTCTTTGTTTGCACACACAACCATTGAGCTTATTGTATTTGCATACATTATATAATTGGGTTGTGGGATAGTGTGACATTGAGTTGAGCCTAATTGAGTTCTCACCTTGTTAGAGAGAACAATCATTTGCTATATTGTGCTTAATTGTTAAATCACTTTGTAATACTCTTGTACACCGAGTGAGGAGTGTGTGGTGAGAGTCGGGGATCGTCCCAAGAGGAGTGGCGTCGGTTGACGTGCCTAGGGAGAGGTTGTAACCGAGCACTTGAGGGAGACACGGCTAGGTCCAACACTTAGTGGGTGTAGAGTGTGATTGCAAGAGTGTGAGTTGTAGAGTTTTCGGTTAGCTAGAAAACCGAGTGTGTAGAAGAGGGTGAACGTAGAAAACCCGGTTGTGTTAGTGGATTTCTCCCCGGGAGTGGGGAGCGGAGACGTAGGACGGAAGGTCCGAACTCCGTGATCATATTGCTTGTTTGAGTTTGGCTTAGCACACTTATATTTGTTCATCTTTATAGCCTTTCTCTCATTGTTTATTTCATCCACTATATCATTTGTTTATGTTACCCTTGTGTTTGCATATCCTTGCATATATCATATAGTATACCTCTTTGCTAGGATATATCACCTTGTGTATATTGCATATTCTTGCACATAACTCTTTGTATATCTATCTTGCAAGAATATATTTGTTAATTAGTTTTAATTGGCATTTAATCGGATTAGATTAGCATAAGACCCTAATCACCCCCCCTCTAGGGTCTAACAATTGGTATCAGAGCTTGGTGCTCTTTGATTTAAGGTCTAACCACCTTGAGTTAAAGATCCAAGTTATCTTATTTGTGCTAATCTAGTTATGATTGCATTTGTCTTGCTTGCATATGTTCATATATATATCTTGAATATGAATGTATTTTGTTTAGGCTATAAATCCAATGTTGCTCCTAAATTCATTAATTTTCCCTATGCACAATGGGCTTCTAGATTTAAACTATTTGTTGAATCTAGAAATATTGACTTATGGAAAATTATTGATTGTGCTTATATTGTGCCCACATTGGAGAAATCTAAGTGGAGCAATCATGATAATAAAATGTTTAATATGAACAAGCTTTTGTTAGAATATTTGCTTAATGCCTTTGACTCATCATTTTCTAACAAATTTGTTCATTTTGATAGTGCTTACAATTTATGGAAATTCATAGAAGCACATCAAGGCAACTTGGAGGAAATCCGACGTAGTTTGGAGGATTGTTCTTCAAGTGAGTGTGGAGCATCATCATGCACACGGCCACTAGGCGATAGCCCTAGTGTGGTAAGCGATTCGGAATCCGATAGTGATATATCCATCAATGAACTCGCTTGTGCATATGATAGATTATCTCATGCCTATACAAAATTGCAAAACAATTTTATTGATCTTAAAAGCAAGCATATTAGTTTAAAATCCGATCATGAGTCGCTAGCTTCCAAACTTGATATTGTTGTTAAAGAGAATGCTATTTTAAAAGAAAACAATGAGTTATTAAGTTTGGAAAATAATAACATGTCTTCATCTATTGCTAGCTTAACTCATGCTAATAATAATGCCATGATAGAAGTAGAAACTATTAGAAATAAGTTTAATTCTTTTAGAAATGATCATGTTTCATCTACTTCTATTTCCAATGCTTGTATGCATAATGATGAATTGAATCTTGTGAAAAACCGAATATCATCTTTAGATTCAACCCTTAAAACATGCATTGTAGATAATAAGAAACTTATGGACTTGGGTGCAAAGTCTAGTACTACAACTTCTAAACCCGTACACTTTGCACACTTGTATAGTAAAACTTATAAGTGCTCCATTTGTGGTCGTAAAGGCCATTTAGCTAAATTTTGCTATGATGCACAAAAACATAAGAATATTAATTCTTCTTGTGCATCTCATAAGGCTTCTTCTTCATCACATGTACACACACATGCACCCATTGTTCATCATAAGCATGCTAATGTGTATCATTGTGATTTTTGTGGTAGAGTTGGTCACTTAGCTAAGTTTTGTTTTGATTTGCGAAAAGTTTCTAAATCGCAAAATATTTCAAGTAGACCAACATTATTTCAAAATGTTTCTCATTTGCAAAATAATCTTAAAAGACCATCTTTATTTGCAAATGTTCCTCGTGCACATCCACATGGTCAACATAACCAAATGCATCCTCTTTCATTGCACTAATTGCAATCGGAAAGGTCATTTACACAATTTTTGTTTTGACCGTGTTCGTGCACCATATGTGCTCAAGAGGGTTCATAACCCTAGGGCTTTGAGCTTGAATGATAGGGGTCATGTCCCTAACCAATCCGGCACCAAGAATGCTTGGGTGCCAAAATGATATTTTTTACCAAGAACTTTAGTGCTCTTAGTTTTCTTTTTCTTGGTTTTGTAAATTGTTTTAAAATCTTTTTGTTATGAAAACAATTTTTCTTTTATCAAATCTTTTGTTTTCATAATTATTAG